TAACATTCATGATTTTGATTTGTGATTCATTTGTCTTTTTTTCATTAATCCTTTTTCTAAGGATTTTGGTGGGAGCGGTGTTGTCCATTTGGTTGGCGGGACAAGTGCTTTCATTGGGGCTCTAATCCTTGGCCCACGCATTGGAAGGTTTCACAAAGAAACAGGGGCCGTCATACCCATCAGAGGCCACTCAGTACCGGTGAGTGGATTTTAATCTTTTGTTTGTTCTTTGTACATGTTGCGAAAATCCAGAGCATCTTTGGTTGACTGTCCGTTATAAAAATAGCAATTGGCCACTTTTAAGTACAAGGCCTTCATGATCCAATGGTGGCTATGGTCATGTGGCTATTTTAATGCTTAACCAATCCCATTAAACTATTGGCTATCATGAGGCATTTGTATGACATCTTTGGATAAAACGTGGAATAGGTGAAAGAAAGTTGCATCCTTTTTTTAAGTCATTTCTCAAGAGCGAAGGCAATTTTTAGGATATCTGAGCCAGAGATGATGCCCTCCAATCATCTTTCTCGTTGCATGTTTCTCCAATCCCACCAATCATCTTTCTCGTTGCATGTTTCCCCAATCCCACCAATCATCTTTCTCGCTGGATGTTTCTCCGATTGCTGTATTAGGTATTGCTTCACAATTTCGTTTTCTTTCCCATCAGTTGGCTGCACTGGGAGTGTTCGTCCTCGTCTTTGGTTTCATGGCGTTCAATGCAGCCTCCCAGGGTCACATATCGCAGCAAGGCGACGGAGAGGCCATAAGTATGGCGGTCTTCAACACTGCAATCTCTGCCAGCATGGGAGGCTTCACAGCTCTTTTCACTAACAGGTGCATTTCCAATTTTATACATTCAAAGTTCACGATGATCAAAGTCAAAGAATATGAGGACATTGTTTCTATTGTGTTAAATCTAAACTGGCGCGCAAATGGTTGGTATACAAAAGTCTGGTACTAAAAGATTTCGGTAAAGAATCCCTTTATGAATTTCTGAAGACAGTGCACCATCAGTCTTAGTAAATATCCAGGGATGTTCCGAGGAAAAGTGGCGCCCGAGATGAAGCCTGAAAAGCGCACCCCTCTATGTATATACTTACCACCCAGGGCCACTAGTATAGACGATTTTAACCACCTTTTGTCTTTGAAATTCATTTGATAGTTTCACTATTATGGTCCTATCTAAAGGTGATTTTTGTCAACCCCTTCCCCCACTGATATTGGCAACTGGCGCGAGTGGGGCCCGCTGCCCTTTAGCACTGCCTAGATCTATATTAATTTTAAAATAAACATCACAGAATTACATTTCCCAGTGTTTCTATATTTTCTTTTTTTTAAAAACAGGATTGGATTGTTTGGACATCACTGGAGCATGCTTAGTGTCATCAACGGATGCTTTGTTGGCATGGTAAGATCTCTAGTCAAAGACCAGTCATTTTTAAACATTTTTTTTTTACATAGAATTAAAAAAAAAAAAGTGATTAATGTTGAAAGAAAGGGGTCTAGTCTTATGTTGAAAGGGGTCTAGTCTTATTAGACTATGGGGAAATATTTACATCAACCTATTTATATGGCGCAAAAGTTTTTAAAGTTTTTACATTGTATAAAATTATCAATATCAAATTGGAACATATGCCACACTGCACATTAACATTTTTAGACTGTACTCATCTATTTTTAAATAAGGTTGCTATCTGTGGAGGCTGCAACTCAATGAAGCCATGGGGAGCAGTCATTGTTGGATTTGTAGGGGCTCTCATCATGAACTGCATTGAGCGTTTGGTCTTAAAGTTAAAAATTGATGATCCCCTAAATGCTGTGGGAGGTAAGCGTGCACAGAATGATCAATAAGGCCACATGGATCATAAGCCCTCAAAATATAATAGTTTTAATGATTAAAAGTCTAAAATGTTTATGAATTCATGCCTTTCAGAATTAGTTTTCTGCATCCTTATGGAACTTATCTTCATTCTGAAATTAAAAATTGCACAACCACTTTTAGGGAAACATTGTAAATGTTGACCCTCTCCAGGAAAAATTTTAAACCAAATTATTTATTTGGGTCATAAGTTATTTCAATATCTTGTTGTTGTTTTTTTAACAAAAACTCCTTTTTATATATAAAAGCACAGCAGTCTGATTTGTTCAAAAAATGAAATTTGCAATTGGTTAAATTTTATTATTCCAGTACACTTCGGAGGAGGACTTTGGGGTGCCTTGAGTGTGGCCTTTGTTAAATATCCCACTGGTATCCTCATGGCTTGGGATAAACAATCAGGGGCGGTAAGTTAATTGATCTTGTCATGCATATCTTGTCAGTAGTATAGTTTGGTAAACAACTTAAATAGCTCCTGCCCTTTTCTACCCACCACCTCCTTTTTTCTTCTGAAAGTAGAATCTTTGCTACCACTTTTTTTCAGTGGATGACTCAAAACTATTGCTTAAAATCCTTTTTGCCACACATTTTCCCACCTAGTTTACAAAATATACTAAGGGTAGGGGGGAAACCTGAAGGACAACAGAAAGTGAACTTTTTGGCCAAGATCCTTCAACAGCAACAACAGTTAAAGACGGTGAAACGGAAATTTTTTTGTTTAGATATTAGGTCCTCTTATTTTTCCCGAGTACACAAATATTTAACAGGCAGCTCCAACATTTATGGGGGTCATTAAAATCAATCATCTTGGCTTTCAGATGCTGGCCTGGCAGTTGGCTGGTGTCTTAACATTCATGACATGGACTGCTGGTTGCATGACACTGGTGTTTGGGGGCCTGAAGCTGGCTGGACTTTTCAGAGTGATCCGGGAAACTGAACTCAAAGGTAGGCCCAGTACCGGAATTTAATGTGGATTTCCATTGGTCTTGCCATTGGAACACATAGGAAAGGATGAGAGAGTGAGGCTGAACTGAGCATCCCTTACTTTAAACAAAATCCAGGGCAACTCAAGTCGAAGCCTTGTCATTTTGCACGCGATAGTTTTTTAAAATCTTTAACAAGCTTCACAGCATGGGGGATTTCATAATATAACTATCCTAATAAAACGTGAACATTTTCCAAATTTTTAATTTTTAAAACATTTTTGAGATTGAAGTAGTTTCCTGGATTATAAAGGGTTCAACAGTAATATAAAGCTTTTTAAATTCTGTTTCAGGTCTCGATATTCCCAAGCATGGTGAGCCCGCCTATCCATTGGAGGCTTACGGGCACGGCTACTTTGAGAAAATTCTTACTGTTTTGGAAAATGGGCAGATATCTCAGTCAGACCAAGGTTTGGTGAATTTTTTAATTTAATTTTTAGGGATAGTTTCTTTTTTATCTTTATGATTATACACTCATCAAAAGCTTATAATTAGCTTTTCAGATTTAATATGGTGCAGTTGTGGTTGTATAGTTCATTGATGTTTGTATTTTCTGTGCTTTATTTATTGAGGGATATTTATTTATAAATGTATTTATAAATGTTTATTATAACAGTTTATATTTATAAATGATTATATTTATAAACATTTATATTTAACTATTTATTAATAAAAACAAAGCATATTAATATAAACAAAGCATAAGATGCAATGTTCAAATTTTCTAACGGATACAAACGATTTTTGCTTTAAAACTTTTTTGTCTCAAAAGAAAAATTCATTTAATTTATATAGGTTGAACATTTGTTTTTCATGGGCTGAAGTGTAAAGAAGTAAGAACTAAAGAAGCTTTGTAATTGACAAATAATTTTTGATTTTTTTTTGGGGGGGGGGAGAAAGTGTTCCATTAGATTATCAGATTTTCAAGGATCACACATTATTTTCGAGCAGGCTTTGAAAGTGGTGTGTACATGAGAGACCAAGGGCCCTACGAGCACCCAGAGGCCAAAATCATGGGAATCCATCAAGTGCGGTCCGTCCCGTCGATACTTGAAATGACCTCTGTCAACCATTTTAAACCAGCCTCTCAGGAAGACCTGGAAAATGCTAAGATGTCTGTGTCCAACTCCACTTTATCTTCACATTTAGCCGTGACGGGGGCCAGCCAGAACTGGAGCTCGGCCCGTTTCCTTGGAAACCAGGCCTATATCAACCATGGGCTGAACCACAGCGATGACAGTGGAATCAGGCTGGAAGCCATGGAGAGGACGGCCCTGTAAAAAAAAATATAAAATGTTTTGAGACTTTGAAGACAATTCTACCGAAAGCCTTTCATAATTTTTCACCAAGAGCCTTTCTTATTGCTGTGCATTTTTTCCACATATGACACCTCAATCTTTTGTTGCTTACATGCAGAGTTATAAAGTATATGGAATATATTTTTTATTTTATCAGGCACTGCTCATCATCAGGCACTAACATGCCTGCTCATTCAAGTAGAAAGCAACTTCAAAAACATTTAAAATCAAGTTATTTTAATATCCAATAAATTACAATTTTTAAAAATGTAATAGTTTGTAGCTATACAAACTTTTAAAATTATGCACACAATTTTTAAGAGTTTGACTCTGTAACTTTTATCTTTAATCCAGTGTGAAGTTTCCTTTTACACCACTAATTTTTAACAGCACTATTTCCTGTGACTTTGGTGTTAACATTCACCCCCATTCTTATGCCATTAATCAGATTGACGCACTAGCGAACTGACTGGATGCAAGGATTTTATGGATACATTATCCGGTATTTTAAATGTGAATCCCTCTCATTTCCCATTTGAGCATAATTTTTTTATTGTACCAAAAAGAAAAAAAGAAGCTCCCAGGGTTGTGTGTTATTGTATGCATGATATACAAATTTATTGTACATTTTTTAAACAGATTTGTCTTAATTTTTAACATGGAACTTTGCATTCATTTTTAAAGAATAAAGTTTACATTTTTATATAATTCATACACAACTTGTATCGCTTTCTTTGTTTCAAAATTTCCATTGAGAGACGATGAATTATTGTGCCCCAGTCTCGGCCATTCTTATTGATTGTGCCCCCCCCCCCTCCCAGTCACAGCCTTTTCTAGTTTCGTCTGGGTTAATGACACTTCAGAGCAAAGCAATAAGTCCTGTGGAAGTGCTGCCCAACAACTCTCGTCCTGCCTAGTCTAATGCATGCAAACCAAATACTTTTAAATGGAAATGCAGGAAATTGTTGGTTTTTTTTCAAACTTGTTTATTAAATTTGCATTGCAGTAAAAATACATGATGTGCTTCATAAATCAAATTCATTCAATGACAAAAATAAAATATTTACACTGAAATTATCCAACCATTGTGTGCACACAATGAATTACACAATTATTTACATTGACGATTTCAAACACAAATAGCATAAATTGATCCTTTTGTTAAAAAAAAAAGTATTAACCCCCTTAATATCCATGCCTGGAACAAAAATTCATGAATATTTAAATGTTTCATCTAAATGGATATATATAGATAGCCTTTTTTAAGTCCAGTATTTGTCATATTATTAGTTCTTTTAGAGATAAATATTGAATACTGTTAAAAATAAACTCGGGTGATAAATTTGATAGCAATTTAGATTTAATTAGCGAATTTAATTTTCTTCAAAGGAACAAACATTAAAACTAAAACATTCTATTACCCCCCCCGCCCCCCCTCCTTTTTAATGCAATTGTATTAAGTTCAGTCTATCTGATATCTTCCTTTTTGACAAACCAGTGCTGCCTTAATGTTGTTCAGACTGCCCCCGGCTGTGATGAATGCAGCACAGCCAGATATGATGAGAATGATGTATGCTGGGATGATGTTGGAAAGATAGATTGCAGAATTGGAAAAATCACTTTGCTGGTTCAGTAATGTCTGAAAATTTAGGAAAAATTCATTATTTTTTAGTTTTAGCAAAAAACATGTGAGAGTTAACATACATTTGAAAATCATTACATTCGCCAATTTGATTGATTCAAGCGTAAAAGATTGAGATTAACATACATTTGAAAATCATTACAATTTGAGTTGATTTTTTAATACAGGTTATCTTAAAATGCAAGTTAAGGTCTACAGCTTTTTTCAATATTTATTAAAGGTCCACAGCTTTTTCAATATTTATTAACAGAGTTGGTTTAAAAACAAAAATAATTTTGCATTTGAATAATTTCATTGCTTTCTATTCTGGGGGGGGGAGGGGCGAATTTGCAAACATTTTTTTTTACATTTACCTGTAAGCAAATCTGCAATCTTTTTACTTTGCTCTCTCACTGGCTCTGTTACCCTATTTATATTTTTCATTTGTACAATTTTTCAACTTTCTAACCCTCTGCCTGATATTCAGTAGAGCCAGTGGCCTACAAATTAGTCCTAGACCAATTGTTCTTAGAATTATCCAAGAACAAAGCAAGTTGTTATTTCTTCAGTTTACAGATGGATTTTTAAAAAAAAGGAATTACCAAACATGAAATCAGCATATGGGCCGCTACCACCAGGGCAACTCTTATGTAATTTTTATTGTCAAGGGCAGCAAAGAAAATGACTCCCCAGGCGGTGTGTAGCAGGATGAAGCACAGTGTCATGAATGCTGGGAATAAGCATACGATTATATTTAAATAGTACATCAAAAACAAACTAAAATACAACAGTAATATTAATATATAACAGCAAAAAAATTTAGGTCAAATATGTACGGTACTGGTACTATATATATATCATTATTTACACCATTCATAACATTGGACCATTCATATATTAGCTGCACCAAAGGAACTCAAAATGCATGTTCAGCCATTCCCATCCCACCTATGCAAAAGTTAGTGGGTAAAAGTAGTTATTTAGAATAAGTGTCACACACAAAATCAAATCATCTCAAACTTTATACTATGGCATAGAAACACATTTCCCCCTCCCATGTGCTGCCATCTTTAAATCAACTAATCCAACCACACCCCCACCCTGGACTCATTATAATAACAGATAAGAGGATCACCCCCCACCCCCACAATACATACTTATATCAAGAGGATTTCTATTTTTAGTTATTTTGTTTTAAACTATTTTTTATTCAAATTTAATATATCACTAATTTAGTATGTTAATTTAATTAATAAATTCAGGTCCTTGTTAAAATTCAATTAAGCCCACTCACAGATTTGTTTATATTTTTATACAGCATGGGCTCATGAACACATCAGCATGGGTCATGAAAACATCAGCATAGCTTATGAACACATGAGCAATGGAGTCTACCTCACCCAAAAATCAGTTGAAGTCAGAGACCTATTTATAGACCTATATAGGCAGCCATATCTGCCTCCTTGTTTTGAAAGTCTCTAAATAATCTTCTTTTTTTAAAGTTTTTTTTTTTAAGTACAAAATATCAATTATGAAACTTTGTTTTCATTACCAGAGGCCCAAAAGAAGAACTTGGAGTCTCCCAGGATTCCAATGGTCCCAGGGCCAGACATATCTGCCAGTAGGTTGATCATGGAGAAAGCCCCAGCAATTAGTCCAAACCCAAGGCCTGAGACTGAAATACACATCAAAAGTTAAAGCAAAGCCCCTTTGATGGTCCTATAATCTTAAAGCATAAAACTTTAAATAACCGTTAAAGCTCACTTTAAAATTAGGAAATTAAGTCTGCATAATGAATGGTAATGATAAAAGTAAATAGCAATTTGTTTCTCAAATCAAAGATATTTCACAGGATAATTAATGGACTTATTGATCCTCAAACATTGAAATTGAAAACCATACATCTTTTAATTTACTGCCTTGTATAGATGACTGCTCTATATACTTAGGGAAATAATACTTAAACAGTCAACAGAATTTATCCAAACTTTAAAAAACAAAATTGAAAGAAATCAAAGAAATAATAAATGAAACGATTTTTAAAGAAATGTTTTTAAAAATGTTGAGCAAAAAAAAAAAACCAGAACCAATCCAATAGTAATGGCTAACACCCAATCAGGGTTTTATACTATCAATAATAATGATGGTGATCTACAATGTGCAGCATCAGTTGGGTATAGTGGACTTTGCTGCAATGTAATTTAGATGCTGATTATAGTCTGTCATCATAAGTGAACAAATCTGTAACATTTCAATATTGAGATGTGCACGAAGTCTTTAACTTGTTGCAACTGCCAGGGTTAACTTCAGAGCAAACAAAATTTGTCAGTGACAAAGGTAATGAGTTCAATGACAAAAACGGTGGCTCTATACTTTACCATAAGCCATAACATGAGTCTTTGAAAGCTCTGCAACATTATTTTAAAATGTTACCAATTTGTATCAGTTGTTATTTTTTTTTTGTTTTTTTTTTGTTTGTTTTTTTTACAGTAAAGAGCTGTTTGATAACGATTAGAAAAGCTTTGCATAATCTGTTTAAAAACAAAAACTTTGTTGTATCATTTCACCCATAACAATGTCCGAACAAAAACTTTGTTGTATCATTTCACCCATAACAATGTCCGAACAAAAACTTTGTTGTATCATTTCACCCATAACAATGTCCGAACAAAAACTTTGTTGTATCATTTCACCCATAACAATGTCCGCATTTTGCCCCAGCCAGGCTGTTATTCTTTCGGAGGACATGAAAGCTGAAGAAGAAACTTCAGCCACTGAATTGGAAAGGCTAAAGTCAGTCACCTTTGCGAAGGATTAGCCATCGACCGACTACACTTACCCAACACACAAACCCCCACCACCCATGATATAAAGAAAAAGAAATAATAACTTTTTGTGAAGCATCCCAATCCAGTATTTATATATAGATCGCAAATTCAAATTAATCAAAACAGTAATTTTAACTGCCATGAAGAAATAGCAGAGCACACTTTTTTTTTTTTACTGCTCTAGACTTTTTGGTGAATTGCATTATTCTAAAGTGTCTTTAAAACTCCCTGGACACCCAATCACATCACTCCTAAATGCTGTCTTTTGTGAAGCCTTCTTCAGTTTGTTCCATTGCTTGTCCGGTTTTCACTCATCTTTCTTCAGCAAGACAAAAAAAAACAAACCCAAATTAACTGAAGGTTCAAGAACCTTTCCAGTTTTACAGAGGGTCTCATCTCTCAACACCCATCATGCTAAAATGTGTATGTAAATGTAACTTAAATTAAACAGCCTGGGCACAGATTACCATAAGCCATGATGTTCTTGTTTGAAATGTCTTTTGGTGTCACGTGTTGGTCTTCATTCTGTTGAGTTACTTTCAGCAAACCCTCATCAGCCAGTCTGTGGTGAAGAGATAGTTATCAGTTAGTCCACATGCATATTTTTAACTTAAATATTTATTTATTTAATTTGTCAGTGACAAAGGTAATGAGTTCAATGACAAAAACGGTGGCTCTATACTTTACCATAAGCCATAACATGAGTCTTTGAAAGCACTGCAACATTATTTTAGTTAGGATATTTAACAAAATGAATTTATCTTTAGCTTTTAAAATGACAAAATTACCCGTACAAAAAACCCCCAATAAATTCAATAAATTACCTTATTGTTTTGTAGAAGAGAAACCGAAATGCCTCCTGAATCAGGACGGAGAAGACTAAGCCGAATGCTAGTGTTTCTCTCAATGGTACAACAGCGTACCACAGTATAGAAGACAACAGCAAGGCTATCAGCCAGAAAAATGCACTGTGTAATAGATATCAAGAGATCAAAAGAAAATTTCATTAACACTAACGTTTCTACAAAAATAGTAAAGAAACATAGTTAACCCAACCTAGCAATCAGATCAGCTGATATCTCCCTTACCAACCAATAATCTACTATGCACAAACTCAAGATGGCACTTATTGGTAATTTTAGTATTTCATTCAAATTGATATTAAAATAATGTTTGCAGCATTTTCATAAGTATCTTAAAATAAAATCCTTAATATAAAAATGCTTATCTGAAATCAGAAAGCTAAAACTACTTGTTTCATTTAATAAAAACTCTATTTAAATATTTAATAAACGAACCTAGCTATTAAGACAATGATACGCATTGGATCCCTTGCAATTGTAAAAAGAAATAGTGCGAATGGAGGTCCAAAGGAAATGAAAGTGCAACCGAAAAATTCCATTAGCGTCATGTTTTAAAATCTGAAATACACAAAAAGATTAACAAAAATGTATGGGTATTCATCTTAATATTTTTAAAAGCTTTGTTACAGTTATGGATGAATTTGTATTATGAATTTCTGCCTCACTTTGTTCAAGAAACATTCCACCCTGCTATAAACAGTATAATATACTCTAATTCTCTAATAGATAGGCCTAGGCCTAGGCCCTTTACAAGTGAATAGGTTAATATACTTGAATTATTTCTAGCTCATCAAGTCATCAAGCTCTCAGCAAATTAGTTAGGGACTAGCCCCTAGCTAGGATAGCTAGCTAGTGGTCTAATCTCACAACTGTCAATCAGTAACAGTAGGCAGTAGGGGTGCAGCTGGGATGGCTAGCTAGGGGTCTAGTCTCACATCTGTCAGTCAGTGACAGTAAGGGACTGATAATGATGTATTAATCATTTTAATACATTTAGACCTAACATACAAATACTAACAAAAGAAGAAAAAAAAGATGCACCCGACAATGAGTACTTGATATTGTACAATTTGTTATGTTTAATATTATGTTTGGTCAAATTAAGCTATCCACGCCATGGCTTGTATGTGTAGAAACTCTCAATAAGAGGACAGGCCTATTTGACTTACCAAAACCATTTAATAATAATTCTGAAACAAGTGTAATTTTTTTTAAAATGAGAATGAAACAAACAATAAGAGTAAGAGGTTGCCAAAATTACAAATCAATTTAGCCTAAACTTAAACCTAGAAAACTTGGCGGCTATGTTACACTATAAATAACTATGACAATGATTCATAACTAAATGCAATTGTAGTAACTTGTAAGAAGTATGACAGTATGAATAAGTGAGATTTGTAAAAGTAAATTGTAGTCTATTTGTAGTTTATAGTATTTTAGTTAATAATTGGTATTACTAACAATGACAATGATTTTTTTAAACAACTTATTTGGTAGCCTTTTAATGTAATAGTAGTAATAGATTTCGGGTGGCCAAGACTTCCTTTACTTCAGTCTTCAAAGATCCGTTTTCAACTGTCAACAGTTACTTAAATACTACTATTAGTAATTTTATAGCTTCCTTAAACTATGCCCTATAATTTAAACTTCCTGTTTTTTTAACTGCGTTAACTGCTCACTGTTGTTGTTAATTTTTGTTGCCTACTTCCGATTCCGTTCCAAATGTTTCTTAGTTAGAAAATGATGACGTCATGTAAAGTTAATTTATGTTTTCTTTCATTTATACATTTACTGCCGCTGTAGATCTATTACACCAAAGCTTCATTTACCAACACAGTAAATATAGTCAGCAGACTTAGACTAATGTATAGAAAATTGGCACTTGTCGTCCATATATAGGTACCTTAAGAACTTCTGTAAATGGAATTGGAAGAAGGGGGCAAAAATAATTGGATAACTTGACTGCAAAGGAGGGCAAGACTAATTGGATAACCATGACTGACCTTCAAGGACGTGAATAAGAAAGACATACTCACTGGTAGCCAGCATCAAAATTATCGAATGGAATAGCACCCCCAATTACATTTCCACCAAACGAATATTGGTGAATTTGGATGTCAGATTATGGGCAAATGATGCGCAAACTGTAGGCTAATTATCTTTTTTTTAAAAAAAATTTTTTTTTTTTTTAAATTCAAAAAGCTTAATGGAAGGCCAAAGAAAAAAATCACTCGAAGTGAAAATGGTCGCCAAAGACTGCCATTTTTGGATAGATATCTGAACTAGTAATTTAAAAAGAAACCACACCGTCGCTTCCTGCAGAAAGTCGGGTTGTGGTAGGCCTAATACTTAACCTATTTAACCTACTTAACGTAGCCCTATAATAAACCATAATTATCTGTATATTACTTTTGTGGAAATACGTAACCCAACGTTATTTCGTTGTGCCCCTTTTCAGGTTACCCCCTACTTTGTACTACTTATCTCCTCTTACCTAACCTGATCTCAGTCTCCACCCCACCCCTGATATTATCCATACTATTTAGGAGACCGTTCTCAAGTCGTATGTAAAACAACATATGGGGAAGCTATGAAATATAGAACAAACCAATAACACTGAAGACTCTGCTGAAAATCAACTTCCGAAAACAGAGAAAAATCAAGGCAATGAGTAGGAAAAGTTAATTTGCTTAAAATGGATTAGGATTCAAATTAAAATAATTCCTAGTGTTCCAAAAAAATAATTTAAAAAGTTAAAATGCAAACTCGTCATAAGAGCCATCGAGTGACTTTAGGGGAACTCCAGTCAAATTTCGGTTTAGGGTCCCCTTCATTCAAAGTTGTTCGTCTATTTTGCGTTCATAGTTAGCTACTTAGAAGTTACTTAAACCAAGTAATAGTTAAACCAAGTAGAGTTAAAACAATTAAAAGTTTAACCAAGTAAAAGCTCAACCATGTAAAAGTTAAACATTTCAAATTATTTAATTGTTCGCTCAAAGAGGAACACAACGCTTGTTGTTGCAGCTCGTGAAAACTTCATCATTTTAACATAACGGGTTCCCGGCTTTAAAAAACACCCCGAAAACAGTATGTATGTTGTGGTTCATTCTAATGAGGTAGTGTAAGGAGGCCTATTTTTTTCCAAAAAAGATAGCGTCTGTCTGTGAAGATTTGAGCCGATTTCAAGACATAACCATAGTTCCTTCTTACAGCCCACTTTTAGTATCATTGTGAATATACATTTATTTTTGTTTTGTTGCAGTACAGCTGTTCTTTATTGCATAAATGTATGTTATTTTAATGTCACGAATATGTCTCTTTTGCTAATATTTTTATGTACAGCGCGGTGATCCCAGCCCTAGAGGTTTGGATATGTTTGACTATTGTTGAAAAAGGGGAGGGGGTTATACAAATTATGTTGACATAATAACTTGTTTGGGGGGGGGGTCACTGAAAGTTTGACAGGTGTTGACAAATGTTGGGAGGGGGGGTCAAAATTTGCTTTAAAAATGTTGACGTAATTACTGGACGGCCCCCAGGGAGCCGCTTGCAGGGTTGTTTTGTTTTTGTTTTTGTTTGTTTTGTTGTTGTTGTTGTTTTTTTGTGGCTGGCGGTGCATTGGAATCAGACTTAAATACAAAAATTCAAATAAATTAGACTTCAGTTTTGAAGTGCACACTTCTGAATCCGAAATAGTAATTGTTTTAACAATAAAACTTTGTATTGTCTTTCTCTCTTTTTTTTTTCTTAATAAATATACATTTATTTCGGAAGGGAGAAGCTTGGGTAAGTTTTATTATTTTTTTTTGTTTATGACTTTTCCCATGAGTGTGTTATGTTTGTTCTAATTTGTAAACTGGTGTTTTGCTCCCTTTACATTGGCATCAAACGCAGCCTTTGGTAGCACTTTTGCTTTTGTTTGTAACGTTTACTGTCGCGATAAAGGTAGCGTAAAGAGTATGATAGCTTAAACATTTAAAATTGTTTATCCTGTTTTGAATAATGAACTTTATTAAATTTTAGCCGAATTTCAACAGTCAGGGCCATCCAATATTTTTATGATACTCTGAAGATTTACATCTATTGTTATTCGTTTTTTTTTTTTAGTGCATTCATGATTCAAAAATAAAATAATGAATGATTTATTTCCAACACCGGATATGAACTCTAGATAAGGGGCGGGGCAGAAATGGTAACCCTTTGAAGCACAACAAACTCTAACAAACAATAGCTAGCGGGGAACATTGACTTGCGGCGTACAACTTCACGATAATACCGGCTGTCTAGCACTAGCTATCAGACAGAATTAGTCAATAAGTATGGTGAAAAGATATTATACAGGTAGCGGTAAAGCTACTAAGATTCTGTCATAAGATCCAAAAAGAAAAAAGACCTTCTCTGAATACATTTTTCATTCTATTCTTATTTCTTATGATTCTTCTTATGATCCATTTTTTTTTTACAAAAGGTACACAAGTCATAAGAAAGTAAACTTAATAATCCTGGTGACATTGGACTCATTGGTTACTTGATATGAATAGTATGATTCATGATACACAACCTGTGTCTGACTGAGACTGTGAGACCTGTCTTCAATCATCTCAGTATTTTTTAGTTACCTCACTGGTAGGATGAGTTCTTCACCCATTGTTAAGTAATTTAGCAGATTTACCAATCAAAATGTGCAATAAAAATTCCATATGATTCATGAAAGCCCTCTTTATTTTGATAAAAAGAATTGCAAAACATACTTGACGGTTGTTTGTAATCAAAGGTAAATTCTCCCTCCGTAAATGTATGTAGACAGGGAAACAAAATACATGACTATGGCTGACTATTATTTAATGCAGACTTATTTTTTAATTAAAAACATAATTTTATCTGTTTTAGATAATTAAATTTCAGAGATAATTCCATCTCTTCCTGAAAAATTAAAAGGCTTTCAGCACCCCCCCCCCCCCCCCCCCCCCCGCTATCCCACCGCTCACTTTGAGAACCACTGTCCCAGTGATTCTCAACCTTCCTAGTGCCGCGGCCCTTTAATACAGTTCCTTGTGTTGTGGCGACCCTCCAGCCACAAAATTATTATGGTTACTACTTCATACCTGTAGAGTATATGTGTTTTCGGATGGTCTTAGGCAACCCCTGTTAAAGGGTCGTGCGACCCCCAAAAGGGTCGCGACCCACAGCTTGAGAACAGCCGAGTTAGACTCGACTCTTGTCATTTACAGTCTTATACTAATACTAGTTATACTCATGCTACTTAGACGTATAGTAGAGGCATGTAATTAACTGTAACTATAATAATATTTCAGCAATATTTACAACAAAAAAAAAAAAACAACCCAAACTAAAAAAAAATAATAAAAAATCCACAGCTTGAGAACAGTCGAGTTAGACTCGACTTTTTTCATTTACAGTCTTATACTAATACTAGTTATACTCATGCTACTTAGACGTATAGTAGAGGAATGTAATTAACTGTAACTATAATAATATTTCAGCAATATTTACAACAAAAAAAAAAAAACAGCCCAAACTAAATAAAAATCATAAAAAATAGTTTCATCATTTTATTATAAATTAAATTATCTAGTCACTCTCAGTCAGTCACTGATTCTATCTATACACTCTCAGTCAGTCGCTGAGTCTATCTTATCAGTATCAGGGATTAAGGGCCTCATATTTTACAGGCAATCAAATCATAAAATCCGATACCGGTAATTTAAAAACAAAACAGAATTTTAGTAGCCCCATAATGTTTATTTTATTCTTAATCCTAAAAATGTGTTTTTGAGATGGTTGTTCAGTTGATTCCCAGCCTCAGCTAGAGTATTAAAAGATATTTGTCTCTTTTTTCCTTTTCCTAACAAACACACTTTAAAAAAAAATATTTGTTTTTGTTTTTTTTCCTTTTCCATTTTATTTTTTTTACCTGAGAAAATCAAAAAGAGGGTTGGGGGAGGGGGTTTTTTCTCCCCCCCCCCCCCCCAACTCTGATTGCAATCTGCTGCTTCCCTTTCCTCCCTGTGTAGACACCTCTGATCATTCTCTGTGACAATAAAATGCCATTTAATCACCCTCAAAATAGCAATAGGTTTTAACCATGCAAGCTTGAGGAAGTATCCTGTGAACCTGTTGCCGGTCTGCATACGATTCAAAGATAAAGAAATTGGATAGAGAAACAAATGATTTGTTTCTTAGGGTTATAAGTTAAATTATTTAAACTTAAGGTTAAGCTGACATGTTTTGCATTAAAACCAAAGTATTAAACAATAAAACTCTGTCTTTTTTTAGAGAGAGAAATTGAAATAGAAAGTGATAAATTTAAGGGAAAAACTTATCCGCTTTTGACTTTAACTGGTGTGAATCGAATATGACACATAAATTAATTTAGGTCTGCTAAATAAAAATAAATATATTTTGTGGTTATTTTTATTTTGCAATAAGCCAAATAAGAGAGTTATTGCTGTATAGTGACAACATCAGAACATGAACACATCTATTCTAATATGTATTAATCTTATTATCAATATTGTTTCCTTTGCAGAAGGAAATGACGGCCATCAAATAATAGGTTAAACACATTGGATCAACCAAAATAAAGTTAAAGGTGAAAAGAACTCTATTAAAGAAAATTGTTTGGAACTTAACAAGCCTGTATGGAATAGCCACATGTGAAGA